TTCAGTTGCTAGAGGATAGAAATTAGTAATGCTCAGAAATAGAAACTAGGCTCAGAAATAGAAAGAAGTAAGCTTAGCTTTGGAAACTTCTGCTTGAGAGCGCGTTAACCCCTCGGTTCAACCGGATATGAAAATACAAAAAGGGAAAATCTATTATACCGAAAAGATATGGTATGGAAAGAGTTTTTGACCAATCAAAACCCAACCATGAATTTTGATAAATAACACCATTTTCTCTACAAAAATCCATTGGCGGTACGAGTGTAAATCGGGCAGGTTGGGTTGGGTTTGTGCTCAACCCAGGTCTGACCTAAAAATTTTGGTTTAAGGCCTAAGCCTGGCCCGAATCCGAGGTCAAGCTTGAATTTTCCAATCCAAACCTAGCCTGCCTTCTAATTTGATGCATTTGGGTTCGGCTTGGGCTTGGGGTCAATAAACCCAATCTAATATATATGTATATATATAGACCTCCTATACTATGACCGTGAGACAAAGATCCCATTCCCTTAGATTTTCGTTGAAATCCACTATTGAATTAATGATTTTTTCAAAAGGCGTGAAAAAAATGCACTATTGCCAAGTCATGGATGCTTGGTTAATTACTTAAGCCCTTAGACACAAGTAACAATATGGGAATTGAAATTTGCTAGACTAGCTGGAGCAAAACCACTAGGGGAGATTGCTGACCACCAATACATTGTACCAAACTCAACAATAGGTCATATCCTCGACACCCAAACGTATTACCAAATTTTCAAATTTGATCTGGTCAGCAAATTAAGCTACCTTCATGCCATACTTGTTCGGCAAGAGGAACTCACTTGGCAAGTGCAGCAATCACATGGCACAATGTGTGGTGACAAAGAATGTTTGCCTTGAGACCAGAAAGGCACAGTAATTAACTCTAAACTCTAGTAATGGCTAATTTATTTGCCATTATAACCTACAAAATATAGAATGAGGTGTGAGTAGGGAAAAACAAAGGATCTCTTCGAACACTAAAATCTACCAACAAAAATGAGATCATCAAACGGGATGCTCTGATGCAGAATTTGTAAGTTCAAGATATGCAAGACTTCATTTTAAAGGATATTTGAAACCAAAACCTAAGTGCCATGTCCATTTGAATTCCAATAAAATATCAAGTTAACAGAAACATATTGTGAGGTAAGAATTAGGGGTGTAAATGGATCGGGTCGTGATATGATCATATTTGGATCATCCTGTTCGGGTATCAGGTTGGATAGAATAAGAGGATCATATGAGAAATCAAATTGGATTCGGATCACCCCTATCCGATCTGAAATATGTAATATATTTATTTATATGTATAAATACATATAGCACATATATATGTCATTTATTTATACATATAATATTTGTGTTGTATTTTTTATAAATTTGTTATATTATTCATTTTTTATAAAAAAAAACATGTATATATATGATGAAAATAATTTTTAAAATTTTGTATTTTTGTTTTTATTTATTTAAATTGGTATATTTTATTTTTCTTTTAAAAAATTATAATTTTTTAAAGAAGAAAGTTAGATTGGATCAGATCCGAAGATCCGACTTACAAATAGGATCTAAATTCAAATTGATGTCTGATCTTCCATGAATAGTGTCGCATCGGATTCAGATTACCCTAATTTAAATTCAATATGATCTATTTTCATCCCTAGTAAGAATACATATATACTGGCAGAGGGACCATGCTTCGAAGGGGGTTGGAATTGTAACATTGCTATTTGCTACATTAAAAAAGACAATGGTATTTTAATAAGAAACTTGCAATTGTATGTATCAAAATCTTGAAAATCATATAAAGACTTAAAAAAGATCATCATGTGCTCACTTTTTAAATATTGTTTCAGCAAAGCATCTCATATAAAAGAATACGATCATACAGTGATAGTTTTGAGTTCTACTTCATAGTTGTCATTTGTTTCACATTGAGAACTCCTAGTTGACCTGGATAGTAGGACCGTTTGGTCCGAGAACTGTCTAGGCAACTGGTTTCGTTTTACCCCAAACCCGGTCCTTGGACAAAAATCATTGAATTAGTCAACGACCCATTGACCTGGGCAATTGACTCGCCCAACAGTTTTGGCCATTTTTTATTTTTTAATTTTTGTTGTCAAAACGAGCCATCCCTTTGAACCAGACAATCGAACCATCGACCTGGAAACCAGTGGACAAAATGGTTCCGTTTCCGAGTCATTTTTTCTAAATGTCAATAATTAGACAAAATAACTTTGTAGTCATAGTCATGGGAATGGTGGACACTGCAAGGGATTTCAGAACCTTGAAAGATAAATCCAAAGTGACCTTAAACACAGAAAAAAAATTGGTCATAAATCCACCAAACTGAAAAAACGAAGGAAAAAAAATCAAAAAATTGAATCCAAAGTTCCGCTTTGAGACGGAGCTAAACATATATGCAATCAAAGAAAGAGACAAAGCAGATCATCTTGTAAGAAAATGAAAAAAAGAAAAAAAAACATTGCACAAGAAAATCCAAAGAAAAAACAAAAGGGAGGAAATAAAATTGTGGTAAATCCTAGATCGTTTTGGAGGATATTGAAGAAAAAGGCCAAACACAAAAAGAATAAAAACAGAAAATGAAAAAAATGAACATACCATACACGCTCAAATAAAGCCAACAGTATAACAAACCTTTGAATAGTGAAAATCCAAAAGCACAAAAAACCATGGTTTTTTAATTGCCGTTGACCTGGACAGACGGATATTTCGGCCCATTAACTATCTAGGCAACCAGTTCTATTTTACCCCAATCTCGGCCCCTGGCCAAAAACCGTTGAATTGATCAACGACCCATTGACCCAGCCGCTCGAACTGTAGACCCATTGACTCGTTAAATGGTTTTGACCGTTATTTATTTATTTTTTAATTGGGAACCATCAAGGCAACGAGTTTCGTTTTATCCTAGTCCCTATCCCTGGCTAAAAACGTTGAATCGATCAACGACCCACTGACCTGGGCGGTCGACCCGTTGATCTGTTCAATGGTTTTTGGCTGTTTTTTTATTTTAAAAATTTTTGTTGTCATAATGGGTTGTCCATTCAAATCGGACGGTTGAACCATCGACCCAAAAACTGATGGCTAGAATGGTTCTGTTTTCGGGTTGTATGAGTCACATGCTCGAATGACATAACACGTATGATACTGCATAATGAACCTCACACACTCAATTTTTTTGTTGTAATTTTTGTTGTCAAAATAGGCTTCCTGTTCTAACTGGATGGTCGAACTATTATTTTTTTAATTGGGAATCGTCTAGGCAACTGGTCCCGTTTTACCCCAATCCCAATCCCTGACCAAAAACCGTTGAATTGGTCAACGGCCCATTGAACCGAGTAGTTGAATCGTCGACCCGTTTAATGGTTTTTGACCTTTTTTTTTAATTTTTATTGTTAGAATGAGTCATCCGTCCGTTTGAAGCAGAACGGTTTCATAATTTTTTTACTTGTAATTTTTATTGTCATAAAGGACCATCCATTCAAACCAAACAGTCAAACCGTCAACCCAAAACCGATACCATATATATATATATATATATATATATATATATATATTAAAGGGCTGACATTTAGCGAAAGGGGAGACCACTCCTATCCCTTTAATTGATATATAAGATAAGATAAGATAAGATGCTCCACTAAACAACCTTAAAAGCTTAAACAAGTTTCTACCATGCTTCTTCCATCCAATAAGAGTATGTAGTCCAAAAGCATACTGAAATCAAATTTACTGAAATTGATGCAAGTTAGAGATCCTGCCACCACACATCACCAATAAGCACCGTATGGTTCAATTAACGAACTGGAAACAAAAACTGTTCTTTCACCATTTACGTTGGTGCATTTAATTCTATTCAGAAAAGACGAAAACAACAACTTAATTAGTACAATATTTAGGGCGGAAATGAGTCAAGATTTTTCATAAGTACTTGAGCTCGGTTCATTAAAAACTCAAATTGACTTGATTTAAACCAAATTTGAACCCAATATACAGGAGAGGGATCTGAAACTTCAAAATAAACAAAACCCCCCAGAACAGCTTTTGCTTTAGCAAGAAAGGAAGATGGAAAAACATGGCTGGGTTTTGCAGCTATAAAATGTGTTCCCTCAGGCTACATTTGGAAAGAGTACAAATATAAATATGTTCAATAAAAAACCACTTATATAGTATTTCTAAACCTTATTTTTTAAATGTATACATTTGTATTTTCATTCTTTCCAAATTGAGCTTTGGACTTCATTTGTTTGCAGTGTATATCTGAGCCAAATACAAAATTTGCACATGATTTAGTTTTACAACCTTTTTTCATAACTGTGATTTGCACTCCTCCTTAATGGAAATTTTCCATTTGTTTTAAATCATTTTTTATCTCATTTGCACTTATTGGCAATACAGATTTTCCATCTTGAAGAACTGATGCAATATTTGCGCCAGCTCCCTCTTATCTTTATTCTTTACGCTCTCTCCGATAAAGTGGGGACCATATAATTTTGCTTCATGTCTTAATTCTTACCACTCAAACAAATAATCTTTCTTTTTCTCTCAATTCTTGAATCTAGATTTTCTTTTCACACCCACTTCACAGCATTTGTAGACATGCAGTGGGAACATCTTCCCATGAATAATGGGTGTGTATAGAATTTTTGTGAGGAGAAAATCCGAACTCTTAATTCTCTTTCAGGTAAAGTGGAAATCAGATTATTGTTAATATTGTACATTGAATTTACGTTCTTGCATGCAAACAAATAAAATAAAGTTTACAAATACAAATATAAACAATGCAAATACATAGAAGGTTTTGCACACTCTACATTTGTCGTTTCAGAATGTTCAACTTTTCTTATTTCTCGTTTCAGCAAAAAAATTAATGACTCATGCACAGCAAAAGCAATTAATTACGGATTTACAGTCACCAAACGATTAATTTCATGAAAACAAAAACCCACAAAAAAAAATCAAGTAGGCATCTCAAAGCGGCAGAGTGGGCTGTAATGACTCTGCGAAAGCCATTGAGTAAGACAGTCTCTATGAAACACATGAGAACAGGGCATCCGAGAAATCCATGAACCCGCTTCAAATTCTTCCAAACATATTCTGCAATCCTCCGACGAAGCATTTCCGTCTTCAAACAACACCATCTGTAACGCTTCTATCGACGACTTGGAGGCCGGAACCACCCCATACCCTYCCCTCGCATTCTCCTCTGACTCCCTCAGAATTCTTTCCAAAGCCACCCGCTCATCGTACAACATCACATTCAACACTTCAATCTCTACTAACAAGAACAATTCGTTGCGACCCATTTTCGATTCTGACAAAATCATCTCTTGCGCAAACGACTGCACGGCACCGCCAATGGAGAGCAACCGGAGTCTCCCATTGATGCCCACCTTCCAAAGCATCTCACGGATGATGCTCTGGGACGAGTCTCCGTCGAAGAAATAGCGAGGGGGAAGAAAGAACCTTATTCCGAGTGTGGGCGAGAGCCTCTCGTGAACCAGGGTGGAAGCTCCGTTCACCCCTCGAATCACCCACTGGAATTTGGGTCTCACGATGAACTCGATGTTGATCATCGGGGACGTAGCAGAGGAGGCAAGCTGCAGAGTGGAATTAACGGTGATTGTCCGCCTTTGCCGTTCGAAGGGAAGTTGAATTATTGCCGATTCGATCGCCGTTGCGGCAGCAAGGAAGGCAGAGTTAAAAAACCTTGAAGCAGCGGCACCAACTCTCTCGACAGAATTTTAAGAAATTCAGTTGCTGGAGGATAGAAATTAGTAATGCTCGGAAATAGAAACTAGGCTCAAAAATAGAAACAAGTAAGCTGAGCTTTGGAAAAGCTCATTCTCATTCTTTGCACCTTACATCGAACCTTGTTCACTTTCATTCTCTCCCTTTCATATCGGCAGCGATCAACAAACATCACCAATGATTATTAACACTGGCGACCAAAGGAAAAGCTCACGTATTGATTTTTTGGGAAATTTCTAAAACTACCCTTATGTTTAGCTTCTTGACTAAGTGTATTTACTGTTTGAAAATTGACTAACAGTATTTCTAATGTTTCTGATAATTGACTAATACTTCCACTCGACACAAAGGCAAAGCGGTAGTACCCCCTTCTGATTTCTTCTCTTTTCTCTCTTCCTCTCTCTCTCTCTCTTCTTCCTGCTCTTCTTCTTCCCCCACCGATCGCACCTCCCATGTTTAAGTATCCTCTCTCAGTCAATCTTTTAATGCAGCAGATACTGGAGGCTGCTATGGCCTATCAGTCCACCACGAAGTGGTTGAACTACATGCTTGAAAAGGCAATAAGTTATTCAGTTTAGACAACACCAGTGACAGTTGTGGTCCATCCATTTATCCAATCGATGAGTCGTAATCTGCTGCACTTCAATTTCATTAACTTTGTGTTTCTAAGTTTTGATTTCATGGCGGTGAGTTATGCAGGTAGTGTTGTCAGGTTGCAATGTGGTCGATGGGTTAAACAGAAATAAGAAAAACAGAAGTACCTATTCTTATGGATTATATGAAGGATAGTTGGGCCATAGCCACTAGACAAAGACTCCTCCATATGATGCCAGAGAACCCGAATTTTGTTGTTTTATCAGAAGCATCAGCAGCTCATCATCCCTTGCAACTTCTACAACTCCATGATTCGTCAAAGGATGAAAGGGTGGCACGAATGGAAGATTCAGGAAATTAAAAGGAAGGTTCAGGACGAGGAGTTGGAATCTGGCGCCGACCTTGTACGTTCATCCAGCACTGAACCAACCAGAATCTCATCCATCACAAACACGTCCTCTTCAACTTTAACAGGCGTGACAAAGACTGGTGACGACCTCGAAGGCAGGGTCTCCAGGTTTTCTGTCGACGACAGGGGAGATGGCGAAGAGGCACGAGGCGATATGTTGGAACGATGGAGGAGTAGCGGGTGAAACTTGGTGGAATCGATGATCTGACATGGAAAAACGTCAGCGGAGGGTGAAAGGGATACACCTGTGGCACGGGAGTACCAGATTTGTGTGGAGTCCATATCGAAGGAATTGGGAATTTCCAGTATTCCCAGAAAATAGGGGACGATGGAGTTGATGTTTCTGGCGGATGAACCTGAGCAAACGATTTGAAATGGGAGAGAAACGCAGTGTATTAGTGGAGAGGTGTGGCGGAGGGCTGAGTTCGAATAGGGTTGGAAGTTATAATAAGGGCAAATTAAGTATTTTCAAAAGTTATAACAGTTACATATGCACATTTCAATGATTGATGATAGAACGTTAAGGGTAAGGGAAGTATGAATTTTTAAACAGTAAAGTATATTTAATCAATTAACTAAATTATAAGGGTATTTTAATAATGCATTAGGTATTGCATTTCTTCCTTCCTTTCTGTTTTCCCTAAAACCTAATCGTAATTTCATCTTCGTCGTGCGGCAATCGGCAACCAACGACAATCAAGTATTGCATTTCCCTCCTTCCTATTGTTTTCATGGCATACATGCACTATTTGAAATAATACCTGAATTTTTCCTCTAATCGTCCATGTTAACAATCGCCCATGATGGTTGTTGGTCGCCGCTGGCTGGAGGGGGAGAAAATGAGAATGAACAGGGTTCAGTGCGAGGCAGCAAAGAATGAGAGTGAATAGAGGTATTCAAATATAGTCTAACGACGCTGATAGGAGATGTCGTTTCCTCTTGAAGCGGGCACACGAATCTAAGGACGGGTGGCGCATCCTCCTTTTGCGTGAACAATGCGCATATGCAACTTTCCCTGATAGAAGTCGGATTCTACCATTACATTATCCCTCAGAATCACAAAAGCGATTGTGTGTTAGGTGGAATGGGTTATTTGTTGAATCTCTATTGAGGGACAATGGCATACTTTCAAAAGGGGCTATTTATAGTTTCTTGCCACAGAATACATTTTGGCATTCCTTATTTAAGGACTTGTCTCATTTTTTCTCTTAAAATTCCCCAATGAATGCCGAGTTTTTAACAGAAAAAAGGAGACAAGTATGCTTTTCCTATATCCTTTGTATGAATTTGGGCCATCTTTTAGTTTTTTTGGAGAGATTCAGTTTCTAGGTATTTTGTTTTGATTTTTTAGATGAGGGGAATGCCCTTTAATTTGTAGGGAAAGAGGGTATTAGAAGTTTTAGAGATTTCCCGATATCTGGAGGGAAGTGGATATGGGAAGAACCCTTAGCCCTCTTACATCTACCTCAATAGTGTCTTCTTCCTTTGGCGGAAGTGGCAGGTCAACCAACACAGTCAGCATGGCGGTAGTTTCTCATAGCGCTCAACAGAAATGGCCACCTACCCAATAGCAAGAGGAGTAGCTGAACCCAACGGTTGCATTGGGGTGGTGGTGGTGGTTCCCAGAAGGAAATGGGCTTCGAGGCTTCAATCTATGCTAACTAACTACAGTAGATATTGTTAACAGCAGCACCACTCGAGTGGAAAAATGTGGAGTTGGAATGGAAGATTAGGAGAGTATGTTGTCAGAATCTACAGCTTCACACGGCCAAGAATAGTCCGTTATTCTATGCATCATGCGCAACGCAGATGACTCATCTTTTGGTTTCAAGCATTTATTATAAGGTGAACGTTCTTTAGAGTTTGAAGGCAGTGTTGGGGGATTTGGGATCATCCACTAAGGCTTTGCGTTGGAATCCACTGGAGAAGGCACTTCCGTGGATGGTAATGTAATGAATACCGCCGATGTTCTCTACCGTAGGATTAAGGCTCAAAGGAGAAAAGTAGAGGGGGTTCGAATGAATTCCCAAATATATAATGCAAAATAATGGATTCTTTTCATTTTTGTTTTTTTTTTTTTTATTTTGGTCCGGTTCAACTGGATTCATTTCATTAATGAGAGTTTGAACATTAAAAGAGTTTCATTTTGAAGAGGATGACATAGGGTACACGATTCTCATGATCTGAGGGATTCACAAGATTCGTTTAAGGGTTCAGTCGGGTGGGTTGGGCTGGGTCTATGGTCGACCCAAGTGTGGGGGGACGGATTGGGATATAGAGTTTGGAGTCACTACCTAAATTTTTGTAATTGAGAATTTAGGAAAAACCAAATTTTTTCAATAAAAACATTTTTTCTTGTTGACTCATTGCCCAATAGGGATGAGATTCATAAGGTCCGGGGACTATGGTACAGTGTGGGAAGATGTTAGGCACCCCACACACGTCTAGTTAAACCGGCCTCTATTTCACCAATTTCCAATAAACATTTAATAATTTTAGGACTTTGAATTTATTTACGAAACATGTATTAAGCATGACAAATGAACTAAGAAAACAGCTAAGGAGTTGTCTTAAATTAAGAGGAACAAAAGTAAATGATTGGAAATAACAAATAATTCAATTGAAAAACAAGTAATTAATTATGAAAAATAAGACTAATTAAAAGAGGTAAAACTAATGAGTAAGGGAGCTAAAACTAATTTATCAAATTATGAAAACCAAAAGAAGAGAAGAAAATAACTATATTGAATGAAACACTCACTACCTTAAAAAGTATTAAATTAACAAAGTGGGTGATGATGTTAAGAGTGATTGCAAAAACCAACACTTTAATTAATGACATTTCTAAGAAATGACTCTAAAGAATACCTAATAACCAGACGTGATGCCTAGAGATGGCCTATAATTATTTTAGAATTAAATGCATAGACTAATAACTAATACCAAGTTAACTACATGTACATGTAAACATTATTGATGCAACCTAATTTCTAATGCATGTTTTCTTTGTTTAAGAATACTAGATGCTAAGGGTGGAAATTTAACGACTACAATGCAACAATTGTGACTAGGAAGAAACATTAAATGATTGCTAGATTAATAAAGATTAGTAAAAGTTATGAGATGCAAATGCACATGTAAATGATTAAGAATTTTAATAATATCACGTTCATCTCTAATAAGCTGATCCTACTTGACTATTGCGAGGGAAAAAAAAACTAAGACAAAATGGAAATTCCAAGCCTACAATAAAAGAGGAAGAAAAGGAACTTCAAACCTTATGGATTGAATCACTTTTCTCCAATTTTTTTTCTATCAGCAACATGGCCTTTGTAGTTGCCCTTGCTATGGTTCTTCATGAGGCCTTTGCAAACCGTGTGAAACTCCTTGAGTCGAAGATGAATTCTCAGTCATTTGGGAGGTCAAATATGTTGGATATGTAGCCCAAGATGTGTAGAAACATGCTGGATGACTGTAATTTTCTGCAATATGATCTTTACTTTAAAAAGGCTTCATACTTCTTCCCTTGAATTGAGGCACGACCCAAGGGTGTTCTTTGGCTTCAAACTAGCATGGAGGGACTATAGGGATGCTGAAGAGTGAGTGGGGAGGCTTTGGGATGTGGGTAATGGCTGTGGGAGTTGAGTTCTCTCCCTAAGCTAGCTTGTGTCTAGGTTAGATTGTGTGTCTAGGATGTGAGAAAGGGGTGGTATTTATAGATTTTTTGAGAGGGGAATGGAAGGCTGAAATGGGAGGCAAGGGAGATCAATGGCTGAAGTTTAAATGGTTTTTCAAGGGAGATTGATTGAGAGAATGGGCTGT